ATTAAATGATAGTAAACTTACTAAAGTTAATTTTTCAAGATTAGTATTTTCAAGGTACTAAAGACTATATGAAATGATTTTTAAAACAAAAAGAAAGTACCTATAATTTTCCCCAAATTTTTTTATGTCTTTACTTTAATCAAATCATTCCTAGTCTTTTTTCCACATGTAAATACATAATAACATAGGCATATACAATTTTGAATAATTTAAACAGTTACTGAGTGCATAATGATCTGCTGAAAGTAGATGCCATATTTACTTTAGCATTCCATATTTTTGGACAGTTATATTATTTTCCTGTTTTTGCTGTTTCTTTGCAATGGACATCCTTCTGCATACAGGTTTTTATTTTTGTTTGTTAATTTCCATCTGAGAAACTCCAGAAGTGAGATTATAAGAAGAAAGTGAATGAATTTTCTTTTGACCTTTATTTTCATTTTATTTGGAATTTTTAAATTTCTTTAAAATATGTTTTTAATTTTTGAATTAATTTTTTATATTTTCTTTCAAATTTTCTTTTGGTATTAAATTTGGTATTAAAATTTGGTATTAAATTTTGATTTTCTACTTAATTAAATTGTAATTAGGTTGTATTTTGTTTAAGCAGTTAATAAAAAAGTTTTCTTTCCTAGCTGATTGGTTTTAGCCAATACTTAACAAGAATTTTACATTTGCAATGAATATGTACAATATGTAAATATTTTCTACTTTACAGATTTCAAAGGAGCTAATTTTTGTATTCTTTCTTAGTCTACTTACAGTAATGGCTATGTGTACTTTAAAATTCTTTTAAAATATTTTATAATTATGTCAACATTCCCTTTATGGGAATCACAAATCAATATATATCAAATTATTAACAATAATAGAATTGTCCCCATTTGTTTAAGGGACTGATGCTTGGAAACCTCAACTACCTTCTTAAGGATAAAAGAGAAAAGTTTATTTAAAAAAAATGTTCACAATTTTCAAGCTAAGTTGTCAGAGCATCATCAGGCAGAATCTCAGCAACAGAAAATGAGGACTTGGGATCTAAAATGAGCCTAAGCCCTTCAGAAAAAAAAAAAAAATAAAAAAAAAAGAATAAAAACTAAGTCTTGGAAGAACATACTTGAAAGCATTATGAATTTAAAAAAATCTGTCATCCCAGTGTTTAGTAAGGTCCAAGAAAGTTTATTAACAATGGCATGTGTTTTATCAAGTATCTTATCAAAATGAAGTCTATCCTAGCACATAATATCCACCCACATAATGCGCTGTTTTAAAAATATGCACTCAAGATGAAAGATTTATCCCATTAAATATTTTTTTTGTTGCCATAATATTTAATCTGTTTATTATCATTATAGAGGTTGGTTTGTTTAAGAAAAACCTTTATTCATATTTCCAATCTTGGGCAGTAGAAGATCAATGGAGAAAAGGAAATTTGGGTTTTGTCAAATTGCTTTTCATTTTCAAAATCTGAAAAGAAATAATTACAACCTATATACCCAAATATAGCCATCTTAATTATTACTTTATAAGGTCCAAAATCTCTTTTGAATAAGCTAGCCCTTAAACCACAATTCTGCAGCCAACATTAAGAAGAATAATCATCCTACTTGAATTTTGCTTCTCTAAACCAAAGTTTTGAATTTTGGCCTCTCACCAAGGGGAATGAAATTGATGTTTAAACCAAAAATTAGCCAGAAGCATCTGTGGTTTGCTCACTCTGACTTCTGCCTGAAATTGAGAAATTACTTGATGGACCCCAGTTATTCTACTTAATCCCTACATCATGATGAAAAATAGCTCCAGTTTTATTTAATATTGAGCAACTGCAGAAACATATTTGAAAAATTATCCTAATCAGCAATGGTAAAATTGAGATAATCTGAAAGGACATACATCCACAATATTTACTAAAAGCTTGCTCAGAAACAAACAAAAAAAGAGATAAAGACTATCCAAAGCATAAACCAAAACACTAACTGAACTAAAAAGCTAAAGTATGAGACAAGAAAAATTTTGGAAAGATGTAAACAAATAGTCTAAAAGTAACAGAACTTGGTAAAGCCAAGAGAACTAATGGTATGATAATAAAGCAGAGCTTTCTTCTTGCAAGGTTCAACTTCCTATAAAGTAAAATATCTGCAGGTTTCTTTGGTTTTGTTCCTTTTAATAATAGTTGCATAGAATTGCACAGATAAGTCAAAATTCTCTTTGGATTTCAGCTTCATATTTAAAACAACTGGATGGAAGAGATCTTTTATGTGTCTTTCTATGGATTATGTTCTACATTATGTTCAATGTGTCCTCATAGTAAAAAAAGGGATTTTTATACAGTTTTCAATTCTTGAAAAGAAATTTCACTGAAGCCACCAAAATGAGGCTGTAACTTCTAATTCCTAATACTATCTTATAAGATTATGGGGCAAAATCCAATTTTATAGTCTTACTTTTTGCCAAAATTACATTTAAAGCACAATGACTTTAAATCAGGCCGCCTCTTCATCCTAGCTAAAAGGTGATCAGTTTTCTGTCTAAAGTTACAGTTGCTACAGTCATAATGGAAAATTGTAGAAGACCGAAATAGAAACTGAGTGGTATTAACAGATGTGATCTCATCAGGGTTCCATTTGTTAAAGAAAACATTGAATATTAATTAAAAGTTAATTAGAACTAATTGCCAATTAGAAAGAAAAAGTAATTTGAAGCTACCCAAAGCCTTTCTATTATTACAACCTATGAGAATCCTACACGCCTAAGGTCTGCCAAACATGCTACCTTTCCTTCCTCTGGTATCACTATTATGCCCCATCATGTCACAGTTAACTCAGAGCATTAAACTACAGATTATGGTACCCAAATAAGTAACTGCATCACTCATGGAATACAATCATGAAGCAGGAGTTGGCATTTTACTGAAAGGGAATTCCATGTGCTACACAAAACAAGAGCAGGAAAGCAAATATAATAGTTTTTAAGTAAAATGGAAGAGGGGATATTGGCAATAGAAGTGGCTCTGTGTTGAGTGCCTCACCCACATGTATTCCTCCTTCTTCTAGCCACATACCCTGACTTTCACTTGAGAATCCATGCTTCCTATGAGGCTCATGCTGAGGCTCATGTTTGAGGTGTGGCTAGCTTAGGTGTAAGCTAGAATATCACATAGTCCTCTCATCCCAATGATTGAGTCTTCTTAAGTATGACAAGCAGAATGGATCTTTCATCTTTTTTTCTAGAGTTTCCATTAAGAGATCACTCTTACCTACTGAGGTAGAAACTGAAAAGAAATGAGGCTGAAGCTGGTGGTCATTTTCCCACCAGTAAGTGCTGAGGCTGAAAAGAGAGATGGAGAGAGTCCCTCAGGCATGCTGGAGGCCCAAAGCCAGCTCTGCCTGGAATCTGCCAATTTTTTTTTCCTGAAGCTAGTTTGGGTTGTGCTTCTCGTCACTTAAAACTGGAAATCCTACTGAGACATCAATCTTTTTTAGATATTTATAGAATAGATGCAGAAGAGAATGTAATGTACTAATATTATACTCATATTTCTCTTAATATACTAATATTTCCCTTAGTATTAATAGACTATAGTATACTGTAATATACTAATATTTCCCTTAGAGTTTAGCAATATATAATCTTCCAAGAAAACTATTACTTCCACACCCATTCCTTGGTTTTACTTTGAAGATCTCAAGTTGACATTCTCAAGAAGACTGTGAAGCTCTGTGAATTTAAATTTCTTTGCAGTTAGACTGCATTCTTCACAAGAATGCATTTCCTAGGCATTAGGTTCCCAATCCACAATAGATTTTCATTCACTTAAGATCTGGGTAGGATTTAAATCATTGACCTAATAGAAATAGTATTTTTTTAAGAAGGCAATTTCATATATCAAAGAAATGACATTTTGTTTTGTTTTTCAAGAAAATGCTTTGGATTGCACTTCTTTGTCCTCCCTGTTGTACGCCACTTTTGAGACTCTGACTTTAATTTTCTATACAGAAGGTAGCTACTGGGAATAAGAAATCCACCTACATTTTAATATCCCTCTAAGTTAAAATTCAGTATTAGATGGCTAACATGGATTTGCTTCTTTTAATTTTTAGCTTTTATTTTAAAGTTCTTCTCTGATTCATTTTGAGCATTCATATAACATCTTATAACACTGTAACATGGTGAACCATGATATGCAACAAAGATTGGTTCTCTCATTTAGCCAATACCTTTACCAAATGAAGCCATATTTTTGTATCTCATTGACCAACATAGTTTGAGTGACTTCACAATTTTAGCTTCATTAAACAGCAAAAAAATGGAAATTGATTAGAAATAATGCTAAACATACAAATACTGACTTGGCTTGCTTATTTATATGACTTGTGATTTAGGAAACTTTACATAAAAAGTATAGAATAATTCTAAAATTAATATTTTTCAAATTACAGACTAGTTTTGTGTTTTACTTAAAATTCCAGTAACTAAACAGGGTATAAAAATGAAAGAAAAAAATGAGATTTTGCCTTTTCAAACATTCTTAGCTTAAATGATGGACTGAATTCATATGTTTAAAAAGCTTGTCATTTATTAGAAGTATTATTAGTCTGAGCCTTTAGGCAGTTCTAAGAAGGTTACACAATGAAATGAAATTCACATTACTGAATCTGGAAGTTTCTTTCTGACCTAAAAGCTCCATCAGTGAAGTTTTAAATGTGGCACAGAAAGGTTGCTCAGATTTTCAATACCTTAATAGTATTTTTGCCTTGGAGGCTGTAAGAAATATTTAATATTTAACTTGTGATTCACAAAAAGCAGTATGCTTTTTTCCCCCAAGTTTCTGTATCTTTAACTTTTTGACAAGATTCAATACAAAATGTAAATAATTTGATTTCCAGATATAAAACTCTTTCCAATGAGCTGTTCTGTAATTATGACTATTTTAATAGACTGTTTCAAAGGGATAAATCAAGCATTAAAAATATTGGCCAATTATACTTCTAACGGTAACATACCTGGACTTTAAAGAAGACATCCTTTTTAGAGTTTTTCTCTAGGTATCAGAGGCTTCTGGTTAATAAAAGATACCTGAAATTTATCATCATATAAAAATGGTTAAAATAAGCACATATACATACATATACGTTAAGCAATAGATCTAAATTATTTAGGTCTTACAAATTCCACCCTCCAGGACATTGCTTCATTTGCATATTCTAAAGAAACAATCGAAAAAAATGCTCCAGTCCTGATATACAGCTCAAATTTAGGGTATACTTCTATTTTCAGCATCGAATTTATTCATTCAAATATGTCTGTTTAACACAATACTGCAAACCATATTTAACTTGTATTTTTAAATTACCTCTGTGCAGGGAAGTTTTTGAAATTTGCTCCTAAAAATGCCCAAATTCTTATTTTTGCCGTTTATACAATTTGTGACTTTGTGTGACTTTTAGTCAGCTTCGGGTCGCCCGCGCCAAGGCACGGGAGCGGAGGCACAGATGACGTAGCCACCAGCGTCGCTCACACCCGCGTCCGGAACGCGTTTCCCGCCGCCCTTTCACCCCTCTCCCCCTCAGAACCTTTACCTTCCTAATTATGTTTCACTCAGTCTCCTCTTTAAATTGATTTAAATTCCCTGAGCTCTCCGCCGACAGTGGGAAGAATGGAGGAGAAATTTTCCTGAAGGGGAGGCGCAATTAGATTAAACAATGACGGTCACTCGGGCTCCCGCACCACTTGAGTTCACGCGTGACTTCGTTTGTTTTCCCCGCGTGGGAGCCCGCCATGACGAGGTGGAAGAGGAGAGTCGGCGTGAGTGACACAAGGCGTCTGCCAAGCTCAGCATCTTCCGAGGAAACTGGCGGCGACTTCCTGGAAGCGGGCATCCCCCCCGCAAGGACTGGGGGCTCTTTGCTCACGCACGTGAACAAAGCCCCAAGCGCCCATAACCGGGCCGGCCACCGTACATGCACAGTCTGGATTTGACGAAGACACGAGGCTCCACTTCCTGCGGAGGAGTCGGCCGCGCCGTCCTGCTTTGTCCCTCGTGGCCCCAGCGCTGCCTGGCCACGCGGGGGGGACCAGGAGGTTGTCCAGGGACAGCTGCTGAGCGGACCGAGGAGGGCAAGGCACCGGGGACACCTCACTCCGAGGCAGGCCAGTGGCTGTAGAAGGACTGACGGAGAAATTTGGCCCAAAGATGGGACAAGCCCATCCGTTTCTCAGAACAATTGCAATTTGAAACCGAAAAATTGATCAGCTGTTGGGGCTATATTCAAGCTGAAAGGAAAGCCACAGAAAGGTCCAAAGTTAATGTAGAGCCATGAATGTTTTCCCTTCTTTATTTACATGTGTTTATATGTATATATAATTATATATAACCTCATATATATATCTTTAAGTCTAGTATTAATCATATCTCTGGTGGGGTAAGAGGAGGCCAGGACAGGGAATGTGACTACAATTGTGGCTGCTATTTTTGTGACATCACTGGCCCACCCACAGACATATTTTTGAGGAAGGTAGACTTTAAGGTAATTGTTTTGGGAAACTGATTATGGTATTTGAAAATATTACCAATACTGGGATTCTCAAACAAATGTTATCTTCCAAGATAGTTACCTTACAGTTTTGGTTTTTCTAGGCTGAATATAGTTATTCATATTATATTTTTATTAATTTCTAGTTCTAAGCAACCTCAAGAGTTTCAATGATACCTTATTTAATATCCTTCAAAATATAATTTCCCACTGCCTACTTTCTATCTATAGGGTACATGTTAGTAGTCACTGGCTGCATAATTTTTTTCCACCTATAGCAAGTATGAGTAACATGTTCAGTCTATTCTTTAAATGTGTTTTTCTGATATTTTTATTAAAAGATTTCATTTTAGCTAAAATTATTATTAATGACAGGTCTTTTTCCATTTCAGTGTTTTATATTCATTTTATTTGTGTGATACTTTGTTTTCATGTAGAAGCAATGAATAAGTTTTAAAGCAATTTTATGATTAAATCCATTAAAGATGGAGCAAATAGCCACCATCACAATCAAATTACTATCATCGTTATAAACACATTGGTGCTCAAGCTCTGAAAATACATACTTGCATTTCATCTCTACCCTGCCCCCAGTGTTGATAAAATCCAGGCTTTACAATAGCAAAGACATCTTCTGCTTTTGGCAGAAATGGATTAATCATATTACAGCTAGCTAGTACCTGTTTCTAATGGAAAAGTAATGACATGTTAACAAAAAAGAGAAATATAGGTAGAGAGAGGGAGGAATTATGGTTAGCTATGTTTGTAATAGAAGTGTATAATTTTCTATGTGCAGTAAATTTTTTTCATAAACCTAAAACCTAGAGAATATAACATTTAGCTTCTTCTGTGTTTCCAGATGTAAAGTACATACAGCTAAAGATAGAATAAAGATAATTATACTATTCATAAATTCTTGTAAAAGCATAAAATAAGTTATTTTGCTGCTTTTATTTGTGGCATCATTGCATCAAAAATCAAACAAAAGAAAAATAGAACTGAGCTATAAAAATTTTGTTATTACCAAAACAAAAGATTTTTGACTCAATTTTCTCTTCCTACTCAAGTAAAATTTCCATCCTTTTGAGGAAATAGAACTCTTAGGTAATTATGAAAATGTGTACTATAGTTTTCATGTTACTGTTGAAATTTTACAATTTTTTTTATGAATTTCCACTCAGGAGGATAAATTTGGCATTTTATAGCACTACTTTATATATTGATTCTTTTATTCTTTCATGAGAGGACACACATATTATTCAGATACATAGGTAGATATGACCAGAAAAATCATGTATTTTTGAAAATGCTACACAAAACATATTAGTTTGAAGAATAGCTAATGGACTTACAACAAATTGCTTTATTTGGAAAGGCATTCTTTTTATGCCTTATTTATTTTATTCATATTTGCAAAGAGAATTCTTTGTGCCTTAATTATACACAGGGAGGAAAAAAAAATCCTAAAGTATATTCATCAGAAGACACTGACTCATAAAATACAAGTGGAATACGCCAAAATGAAATAACATCTGATTCAAATAATTTACTGAAGATATTAGGACTATTGAAAATATTCTCTTACGTCTTTGATTTTAAGTACTATATTAAAGTCACTATGGTTTATAATTTTACCACATCAGAGAAGTCACTCTACAATTAATGCTACTTACTTATTATAATGAGTAATTGTTTACCATCTCAGGCTATTAGTTTAGCTTAGGGTCTTGAGCCTAAAAGCACTATATTTCGCAAAACACTTAAGGCAATCATAAGTCCATAGAAGCCTTCTGTATAACCTATTTTACTGACAAACAATTACATTTTAGATTGAAGAGGTGAAATGATTAAGAATATTTGACTTAGTTGCCATGACAGCATGCATTTTTCATCAGGCACAGTGTAATTACTACAATTTCAATGATGTAAAATCAAGAAAGATGATAACAAACAGCAGAACCGTGGAGATATTGCCATTGCAACCAGGTTGCCATAGCAACAGTGATAATAATCCCGGTGATAGATGTTTTCTCTTGCTCTTTCCATTTTGTACGGTTATAACATTCAGAGCTAGTTTTTACCACAGCTTTTTATAGTTTATTAGACTGTCAAAATAGTTTATGAGATGTTGTTGCAAAGGAAATGACTGAGTTCCGCAGCCTAATAAAAATGCCAAATACTCTGTTTACATACTGCTCCAGCACTTAACAAACATTAAAAAATTGTATGAAAAATGATTTGATATTGTATCTGTATTAATCAATTTGCAAGGCATAAGCTTTGTCACTGAAGGTCAAATGAATAGTTTCCAAACACTACTTTTGGAGAGCCTTTTAAAGTTTATTTTTTGATGTAACACTGGTAACCTCCTTCACCTGGATATGAGCCTAAACTACCCACAGGAAATACTTTGCACAACTAAAAGATAAATAGTTATAGAAAATTAAAACCACATTTGCTTCTCAAATAGTTTTGGGGGAAATATTTAAAGTGTATGGTCAGAAATATTCTAAGTTAACTTTTTAAGACAACATATTTTGAATGTATAACCAAAGACAAGGGATGTTAGTGGAATGGGCTCAGAAAACGCTGTGAGTGTGAATAGTTTGATGAGAAAGAATATGGTAATACGCAACATCACCTAACTACGTAAAGTACATATACACATGTAAAGGATATCATTCATCAATATACGGTATAGATGTCAATCATTATATACAGTCTTTACGTGAGCCGTTCTTCCACTTTTAATAGAAACAAATTACAGAGAATGTACTTCAGTACAGACCTACCATAGGTTTTATCTGTAAGAAAAGGTATCCAAAGATGCATGCATTCATGTGGATCTGGAGGCTTTATAATTTGCTACAGTCATGTAGAGTATTCATGAATAGACTGCAGAAAATTGAGTCAGACATTAAAGCTTTGGGATCTGCTTATATGCAGCAAACAGAAAGCACTGAATAGTTCCAAAGATGTGTGAGATTGGGAGTTCACAAGCAGTTCTACCAAAAAGTACAAAGGATAAAGAAAGAATTTTCAATGATAAGTCCTACCTCTTTATTCATCCATTTATCCCCCACCAATGTTCTCCACCTTAGTGGAGTACACTGGATATAGTTGGATTAGTGTTTTAAAAAATTACATTAATGAAATTTAGGGTCATGGCCTAGACACAATAGACTTGTTATCTTAGCTTTGAAAGACAAAGCAAAAGGTTTTAGAATCCCCAAAGCATTTCTTCTTCTTCTCATTTATTGATGGACTGCTATTTAACAGTTATATGCTTTTATTATTTGTTTTAAATGAGGATGATCAGCTGAGGTCTATAGATTTAGAGATAGGAGTTCTGGGTCACTTACACTTCTGTCAGCTTCACTTTTCTAATGTGAATGGGCGATAGGAAAGCTCGATCACATAACATTGAGGTACATTTGTGCCTGTTACACAGTAAATATCACCTGGCTCTGATCAGGCTGTCCTGCCTGCCACAGAAGGATGCCTGGAAATCCAATCTTCTGGTCTGGCCTCCAGGATGGGCATGTGAAGTGATGAAGAATGCAGGATTTTCACCATGCCTTCCATCAGGAGCAGCTCCGGAACATGAAGGAGGGACTGCAGATGGGACATCCTGCAACATATTACTTATTATGGACTAACTCTGCTAGGAAACCATTTACCCAATTACGACTTTTAGCAACGTAAATAGAAAGTTAAAATAGTTAACAAGGCTTAAAAATGCACATTATTGTTTTTATTAAATATAATCCCAATGCTATTCCTGAAAAACTAATCAACAAGCATATTTTATGGTTAGTAGCATTATATTCCTATCCCAAACACTGTGCAGTTATTAAACAAAGATCTCATTGAAACAGGTTCCTCTCTGCAGCAAATAATTACCAGTGAGTTTATCACCAGGAGTGGTCACTTTTTCAGTAAATATGTCATCTGCTTAGAGAAAGATAACAACCTTCAAATTCAGCCTAAGAAACCTATTCTTAGTGTCATGTTACCTTCTGTTTCTATTCTTTTAATAGTTCCTCTAATCCATACCTTTCTGATGGTGACAAATGCCATAGTTTTTCACTATGTGGCCAAATAATATCAGACCTCTAGCTATTTATTTCATCTATTAATTGCAAACACTCATAGTACAGTGCTTCTAAAAAGAAGTTAAGGGACTTAAAATATATACAGAGATACAGAGAGTCATTAAAACAATAATGAAGAAAATATCAAAGGCCTGAAAAGAGAAAGTTGTAAGATGACCTAAGATTGAGGGCATGTTTAAATCCTCAATAGAAAATTCTCACCATTGCTCAAAGTCAAGTAAGCCTTTATTCCTTCCTTAAGAGAATGTTCTTTATCTATAATCTTAAGAGAATGTTCTGTCCCAGGAAGTAATATGTGTTCCTTAACTTGAATTGCTTTGATGTATGGTTATGCCATCATATGTAACTCACAAAACTGCCCTGCTGGGATGTTTGTTATTTAGTATCTAAAGAGCAATAACTCTAATCCTACAGCATTTGAGTAAGTTGTAAAAAAAAAAAAAATCTATCTTAGAGCAGCGAGTATCTGGCTTTAATAGCTCAAAATATTGGGCACAAAATGGCAGAATATTTTGTTTTTTTATTTCTAAAATTATTCTCTACTAATAGTTTTAGGTTTATACTTGACTTCATTCTTGATTGATTATATAAAAATGTCCATAAAATATATCTAAATAATTTTAGAGCTGATTGTATTCCACCTCCTTTTTTTTCTTAATAATCAACTGTAAAACTTCCATTTCCATTACCGTGGGTATTTTATTCTACAGAGGCCCAAGACCTTTATGCATATGCAAAAAGTATGCACAGTCTATTACATGGACCCAAGGCAGCTCTATAATTCAAGACAAATTCCCTGGCTCCAAAATGTATATACAATTCCCAAACATTAATCTAGAGAATTCAAGTGTGTGTGTGTGTGTGTGTGTGTGTGTGTGAATTTCTGAATATCTATGTTTTCTGAAAAATTCCCTCAATTTTCAATTTTTTATTGCATTGGGCCTAGTCCAAACTGTACCACTAAGTTAGTGTGAACCACTGAAACTCTAAGAACTTTAATATCCTCATTTAAGATAAGACAGAGAAAATAATCGATATCTTGTTTAC